GATATTTTCGTAATATTATTCACAATCTTGCCTGTGGCTTGCTACTGAACACCATGATATACCAATCAGTCATATGTTAGAAATAGAATAGAATTCTAGAAGGAAAGTATTTGCTATGTAGTCCTTAAGTCTTTTTAAAAATTACCTTTCAATTGTAGTTGACATTCAATATTGTATTAGTTTTAGCTTTACAGCATCATGCTTAGATATTTATGTAACTTATAAAGTGATCCCCTGATAAGTCTAGTACCCACCTGACACCATACATAGTTATTAAAATATTAGAGGCCTGGTGCACAAAATTTGTGCAGGGGGGGGGGTCCCTCTTCCTGGCCTGCACCCTCTCCAGTCCAGGACCATTCACCTGCCTGCCTGCCTAATCGCCCTAACCACTCTGCCTGCCTGATTGCCCCTAATTGCCTCTGCCTGCCTGCCTGATCGCCCCTAACCCCTCTGTCTGCTGGCCTGATCACCCCTAACCGCCCTCCCCTGCTGGCCTGATTGCACCTAACTGCCTCTGCCTTGACCCCTGCCACCGTGGCTTTGTCTGGAAGGAGGAAAGGATGACCGGAAGATGTCCGGTTGACCCGGTTTAATTAGCGTATTACCCTCTTATTAGTAAAGCTAATTGACAATATTCCCTATGCTGTACTAGTCCTTATGTCTTAATTCAGATCCTGGTCATGATTAAATATAGGATATAGGCTCATGCATCTGTATAAGAATTGGCCACAGTGAAATTCCAAGTAACATAAGCTCTTATTTCAGACTCAAAATCAAAATAATTTAAATAGGTCGTAAGAGCAAGCATCATACACTGAAATATTTATATACATGAGCTATCTCATAGAACAAGTTTCATACCTAACCTGGCATGATTGTGATGTGATAACATGGTTTCTGTTAATTCATAACATTTTCAGGTAACCATGGATGGTTAGGTTGGATATAGAGGAGAATGTTAGTAAGGTCAAAGGCCATGATTATGGGTTTATTTTTTTAGTAGTAATCACTTTTCCCCCCTGATTTCATAACCACAAACTTCACCAGCAGTCTCACCAGATGCATGGCATTAGTTACAATTGACATATTGATTGATTTTGAACTTTCCTTGTATATGAAGACCTAGATGAAGGAGGTTGATGTAATCATGGCAGGAGACCACTAGTACTGAAAGAAATTCAATTTCTGTTCCATTACCAAAAACCAATGGTAAGTCTGTCACAATGTTATTTATAAAGGACAGAATTCTTTAAGAGAAAGGATGGGGGAATTCCTAACATTGGAATTTGGGCATATGATGATAGCCAAGACTGGTAGTTGAAGAAAATATGAATATGCTTTAAGCACAACTAAGGATATTTTTAGCATTGAGGCACTTTTCTATGTTGAATTTTTAGTATAACAATTTTAAGACAGTTCTCATGAACAAATAAGAAAGTTAAATTTAAGATATTTATTTGTTTATCCAGGGAATCTTGTAGAGAGATTTCATGATTGTAATCCATATTAGTTCTTTGTGTATCCATATTAAGTGTGCAGAATGTTAAGTTTTGTAAAATACAAAGATGAATAAGACTTGTTTTTGCTGTAGAGAATTTAAGCTAATTCCTTTAGTAAACAAGTAACTCAGCAAGCTACATGTAAAAAATTCTTTGCTAGATATTAGGATTATAATAATGATTATGCCCTTTTCATTTATGCATTTATTCAGTATTTATTGAGTGTCTACCATGTGTCAGGTTCTGTTCTAGTTTTAAGCAGTACAACAGTGAACAAAACAAAGTTCCTACTCCAGTGAAACTAACATTCTAGTGGAGGAAGAAAAAAATACATAATTATATACTACTCGAGGCCCAGTGCATGGATTCGTGCACTGGTGAAGGGCGTGGCATGCGGGGATGGGCTGCTGTGGGAGCGCTGCTCATCCCAGTCAGCTGAACGAACGGCTGTGGACCTGCCCTCTGAGCGGCTGCTCCTGCTGTGGGAGCGCCACTCATCCAGGTCAGCCAAATGGCACTCCCATTGTGGGAGCACACTGACCACCAGGGGAGCAGCTCCTGCATTGAGCTTCTGCCCTCTGGTGGTCAGTTCACATCATAGCGACTGCTCGACTTATCATTCTGGTCGTTCCACCATTTTGTCACTGGGCTTTTATATATATAGATGTTATGTGATGATTGTTGTGATGAAAAATAAAGCAGGGGAGAAAGAGAGTACTGGCATAGGGGATGGATGTTGTTATTTTCTAGGAATATCATGGAAGTCTTCTGATGAAGTCACTTTTGAACAGAGTCCTAAATGTAGTTTTCTAGGCAGAGAAAAGAGCCAAGTGTGGAACTCACAGGCCTGTTAGGCAGATTGCTGATTGGGCTGTAAGTGTTGAGATTTGGGGGAAAGGTGAGTGAGAGGTCTTTCCACCTCCTTAGTCAGGAAGACGGAGGTACAGGGGCAATGTCCTTAGAAACATGTGGAGCTCCTTTCTGCAGTTCTGCCTGATAGAAGGATGCAGTGACAATCAGATGCAATATCCCTTTTTCTGCCTGGCTGGGATATAGTATCCCTTTGTTATGCTTGACATGGAAAGTTAGGAAAGACCTTAACCAAGGATGTGATATTTTATCTGGGGTAAGAAGAATGATTATACTGGGAAGGTGATTGGGATGGCCTTAAGGGGTTGGAGCTCAGGAGAGGGTAGGTGGGAAACTAATTTGGGGAATTGTCAGGGAATAGAGCCCATTTAAAAATCAAGTCAGGGAAAGCATATTGAATGAGGACAGGAGAGATTCCAGAATGCAGCCTTGGGAAATAACTATCTTAAGTGGGCAGAAAAGGAAGGGAGCCAAGCAGAGAGAGGGAAGAAGAGAAAGCAGAGAAAACAGCTGGAAAACTAGGAAAGGGAAGAGAGTTTTGAGAAAAGGAGTGGCCAGTAGTGGCAAATGCTCTAGATAGAGAATGGTCAATTAAGTTTAGCTGGGGATAGGTAAGGTTGAACTAGACCTGAGCTGTCCAATAGGGCAACTATTTATGGCAAATTTACATTTAAAGTAATTAAGTTAAATATTTAATCTCTCAGTCTCACTCGCTACATTTTAACAATTTAATAGCTATATGTAGCTATATCTATTGATTAGCATAGATATACCAGTAGAATATTTTCATCATTGCAGAAAGTTCTATTTGACAGAATTGTACTAGACCATTATAATACCAGGAAAAAAATTAAATAAGTTTAATTTTTAATGATAGCAACAGAGAAAATACTATAAGATAACTATGAATTGTAAAAACAAACAAATTGATATTTTAAGGCCAGAGTTGGGGAAAGATAAATTTAGCTTGAAGTTTGGTAGCAGAATTGGCTATTTGAGTTGAGCCTTGAGGGTCAGAGAACTTTTGAGCTATTGAGCAGGGAAGCAAAAAGAAAGCAGGTACAAAATTGCAGATCACTCTGAGCAATCAATTTTCCTAGATAGAATTTACATAAGTGGAGCTGTAGTGTGCAAGGCTATTTCATAGGAGATCAAAACATTTCTGTGGAGTGAATAATTGTAGAAAATTTAAATATCGGTGTTTGGAGCTTATTTTCTAAGTAATGGGTGCTATGAATGTTTTTAAGTTAAGGAGGAGCAACATGGCTAAAGTCATAGTTGGTAAATTAATCATTCCCTTCTCCAGCCGTAGTCTTTGTCATTTGTTTTATTACTAAGTAATTTTGCCTTATGTCTATATATTGCTTTAAAAAAAAAATCTATAAAGCAGCCCTACCCAGATTGGTTCAATGGATTGTCAGCCCATGGACTGAAAGGTCTTGGGTTTGATTCTGGTCAAGGGCATGAACCTTGGTTGCAGGCTCTATTCCTGGCCCTGGTTGGGGCACGTGCAGGAGGCAACCAATCAATGTCTCTCTCTCACATTGATGTTTCTCTCTCTCTGTCTCTGTCTCTATCCTTCCCTTCCACTCAATCTAAAATATCAATGGGAAAATATCCTCAGGTGAGGATTAACCAAAAAAAAAAAAATCTAAAAAGCAAAGTCTGGAAAGTTGTAAGTTTTAATAATTATGTATTCATAGAGGAAAAAATTAACTTCACAGAAGTTAAATTACTTGCTAATTATGAGGCTAGCTTCAAGAATGAGTAATTTAGGTAGACTGGAGATAGCTTGTCAAATAAATTACTACACAATACATACAGTCTTCAATATATGGTGATTGTCTTGACAGTAGAAACATGTCTTTATCATGTTTGTGAATTTTAGTACCTGACATAGTAAATGAATGAAGTGAGATTAAATGCAGGACTATCTATTGAAAGGGAGATAGATGCAATATTTGATAAATGAGATAAGTGGATCTGGCCCTACATTGTATTAATAGAAATTGAAAGAAAGGGCTTGGTGTGAGAAAGACATTGTCTAGGTAAAAATCATCAGAACTTAATGACTTGTTCAGATGTAAGGGGAAAAGAGTTTCAGATGACTAAAGGATTTAGGAAGATGGTACCATTGAAAAATTAGGCAAATTGATGTGGAATCTTGTTTCTGAGGAAAACTGCTGAGTGCTCTTCATTACATAATGTTTTGTAAAACAAACTAAAGCCCTTTCTTTGTTAATAAAATTCTGTAACAAGAACTTAATTTGCAATAATGTCCGAACATACAGATAGTAATGCTTTGTAATGAAGGTCTGTGAAAAAACAAAGAACATTCCAGAGAGAACATCACAAGTTAGAAGATTGACTAATTTCCTAAAGCCTCAGGATTTTTTTTTTTAAGGATTTAGTTTCTGGTGTAAGCTTAATATTGCACTCCTTCCTTCCTTCCTTCCTTCCTTCCTTCCTTCCTTCCTTCCTTCCTTTCTTTCTTTCTTTTTTTTTTTTTTTTGCTACTTAAAGATTAATGCACCTCTTAATTCATTTACTCAACTGTGGGTGCTGTCTAGATTCAGATTCTGGTGTATGAGATTAAATCACTCCTGAGAAAATTTGTTTCTTTTTTAGATCTTCCCATATTCAGAAGTTGCTGAAGGTGAAGAGACAGTGAGTAATATATATGGTGTTATTTTTTGAAATGTTAACATTTTAATATTTTTTTTAGGATTTCAAGTTGGATTCTTAAAATTTATGTTTATTGGATTTAATCATAGATTATTTTGTCATTCTAAGAAGTAGCTAATGTAGCCTAAAAAGATTAGTTTAAAAAGTGTTTTTATTTTTTTCCAAAAAGTAAATAGGCATAATCATTTTTACTATAAGAATAATACATAGTACTGTGGCATATTTAAACAATATAAAATATAATAAAATTCTACCTTATAAAGCTAACCACTTTTAATATTTTGGTGACATATTTCCTGTGTGTTAATATGTGTATATCTTACATATGAAATTTTAGAGAAGTTGAGTCATATCATACATACTTTTTAATAAAGTCCTTTTAAAAGCCAATATATAATGGATGTTTTTTAGTCAGTGAAAAAAACCTTTAATGACTAATGATAGTATTTAATTGTATGACTATGTTTTTAATTTATACCTTGTTCTAAATATGTTATTGTTTTAGATGACTGTAAATGATATTGTGATACACACACACACACACACACACACACACACACACACACATATACATCTTTTTGACCATTTTGGATGATACCTTAGTATATATCCCTAGGAGTGGGGGGGTCAAAAGTGGGATCAAATGTGTGATTAGGTTATTTTAAAATAAATGCCTAGCCAGTCAGATCATGTTTTCTTAGCAGTAATAAGCTCTGGTTCCCAGAAAAAATATTGCTTAAAATCTCTCCTGTAAAACTCGGGTAAATGTGCATGTGTATGTTTTGCAGGCAATTGCAGGAATGTAGAAATTCAGTTATATGTTGAAAGAACAAACAGATGTCAGCTGCATTATATATCCCTCACTGAAGTTTCTTGCTGTAAGGGCCAAAAATAACACTAAGTAGAGCACTCTTGAGATATTTTATATAATCCTGCTTCTGAATTGTGGCTTCTGAGAGCCAGCTGCAGTAGGATTGCTTCTAGGAATACAACCTGATTAGCTTTATTGGGGTAGAGGTTCCATCTGCTTGAATCTTTATTTTCAAGGTGTACTCATATCAGTGCTTGGTAAGCTTGTTATGCTTTCACTTAAGATCAAAAGATGACTTAAATCAAATCAATGTATATGTTAAGGAGATGCTGTGCTAAAGGCAATGGAATCAAGTTGATGTATAGATCTCATGGGATTATTTTGTATAACAGGGTAGCTATCTGTCCTGGATAGCTCTGGACTGAGGTTTCCCAGATCACAAGGTGTGATTGATTATGAGCTTCTACCTATTCCTTTACATTTCTTAAAGATTGCAAATTTTATGCTAATTATTCATGGCAAATACTTAAAAGTACATTAAAGTAAAATCACATTTTTTTCCATAATGTTCTTTTTCTGAGATTTGTAGACTAAATTCCGTAATGACTTTCATGCTTTTAATTAAAGTATATTGGTAATACACTAGCATATCAGTATAATTTTATTATTTTCAGCCTATACTTTCTGCCAAAAGAGAGTATTTATTTATATGTTAAAAAGATTATTGAGGTGACTGTGTGGACATTGTCTAAGGCAGTGGTTCTCAACCTGGGCTGCACATTAGAATCACCTGGGAATCTTTTAAAATCCTGATTTCTGGGCCTCATACTCCGGAAATTCTGTTTCTTTGTTACTAATGTTGTGGCCCCACCCCATAACAAAGACACAGAATTTCTGGAGGATGAGGCACAGAAATCAGGAGTTTAAAAGATTCCCAGGTGATTCTAATGTGCAGCCAAGGTTGAGAACCACTGGTCTAAGGGATAATGGTAAGTATGATAAATTACTCAAATAGAGAAAATGTGTGTGTCAAATCTTAATGGTCTTTTTCTGAACAAGCTGAAGAAACGTTCCTAGATTCTTTGGAGATTCTAATAGTATTTTGGTTTGCTAATAAAAGTCAAGGAAAGTGGCTAGCTTTTTGTTTGTCTGTTTTTAATATCTTACAAGATGCTTGTGTAAAGTGTTTTCACATCAGTAATTTCACATTGTCTTTATTCATGTATTATACAATATGGAACTGCACAAATTAGATCCAGGTCCTAAAAGTGGTAAGAATAAGAAGTTAGTAAGTTACTTAGTAAAATTAACTTCTAATCTTTAATTATGTATAGATCTCACAAATTTTGTTCACTGGGCCTCCAGTTTATAATAATTTCTTACCAATTTACACCTTTCCCTATACAGGTCTATTTGTCCAGCTGCCTGTTTCACATTTTTATTTGGATGTCTAACAGGCATTTCAAACGTGCAAGCAACTCTGGGAGGATTTCACTTGCATCCCAATTTAATGCCTTGGTTTCCACACCTTCCTGGGGGAGGTTTCTGAGGCCATGCTTATTTTTCATGGTGCTTCTGCTTTTATTTGGAGTATTTCAGTTCTGTTCCATTATTTGTTTTCTGGTGCCTGTTCTTTATTCTTGTGGCATTTTTTAATCTAATAGGTAATATAGCCTAACTCTCACAAACATCATAATCTATATCTATAAAAGCCTAAAAGCCACTGTTACGACAGAAAGACTGGTTGCTATGATGCACACTGACCACCAGGGGGCAGACACTCAACTCAGGAGCTGCCCCTAGCCCACAGGCCCCCATCATTGATGGGGCCTGCTGGTCAATCTCCCAGTCCCTCCCCCCAGCCATGCCCCCAGGCTGGGACCGGGAACTGGGGGTGGGTGGCGGCAGATGTGGCCCCTTTCCCAGGGGGGCCAAGGGCTGGCTCCCTTCTCAGGGCTGGTGGCCAACCTCCTGGGCCCTCTCCCCTCTCCCCCTGGCTGGCAGGTCCCCATCACCCAATTGGGGCCAGGCTCCAGGCTGAGATGGGAAACTGGGGGTGGGTGGTGGCAGACGCGTGTGGCAAGGGAAGGAAGTGGTGGGGAGGCGGCGAGACAGGGAACCTGATTGGCCCTGATCATCAGTCAGGCCTAGGGACCCCACCCGTGCACAAATTTTGTGCACTGGGCCTCCAGTTTATAATAATTTCTTACCAATTTACACCTCTCCCTATACAGGTCTGTTTGTCCAACTGCCTGTTTCACATTTTTATTTGGATGTCTAACAGGCATTTCAAACTTGACCTCTTCCAAACTGAGCTACTTACATTTCTCCCTGTAAACTAGTTGCTCTTGCTGTCTTTTGCATCTCAGATAATGGCAATTCTGTCCCTCCAAGTGCTCAGACCTCAACATTTGACATCATTTTGATTCCTCTTTTTTTTTATCCCATAGTTGGTCTATTTGGAAATCCTGTTGGCTTTATTTTAAAAATATATTCAGATATCAGCTACTTCTCATCACTCTCACTGCTACCACTTTGGTTCAAGTCTCTTTCATCTCTTCCCTAGTTTATTGCAGTAACCTCCTAACTGATTATATATCCTTGTCCCTGGTCTATTCTCAACATAGCAGCCAGAGCAATTCTATTAAAAATAATCAGATTATGTCACTCATTTTCATAGAGCCAATCAGTGGCCTGCATTTCATTCAGAATAAAATCAAAGTTATGGCTAGATCTTATAAAGTTCCATATAATCTGACACCCATTTACTTCTTCGACTTTATCTCCTCCTAATACTCTCCTGCTTGCAGTGTATTTCAGACTCTTTGGCCTTTTTACTAGTCCTCAAAAACTCTAAACTTGCTTCCTTATCAATATTCTACTCTATACTTATTCCTCCCTCTGCCTGGAATACTTCCTTTTTATGTCCTGAGGTAAGTTAACCTCATTTTACTCAGTCAGCCCTGTAGTGGGGAAGTCTTCTTAGGACACTCTATGTAAATTTTTTTTTTTAAATATATTTAATTGATTTTTTACAGAGAGGAAGGAAGAGGGACAGAGAGTTAGAAACATGGATGAGAGAGAAACATCGATCAGCTGCCTCCCGCACACTCCCCACTGGGCATGCGCCTGCAACCAAGGCACATGCCCTTGACCGGAATCAAACCTGGGACCCCTGAGTCACAGGCCGACACTATATCCACTGAGCCAAACTGGCCAGGGCTCTATCTAAAATTTTAACTCCCTCTTCCTTAACATTGTATATGTCCGAATTTTCTTACATATTTTTACTTGTTGATTATGTCATTGTTCATCACCCCCAATAGAACATAACTGCCACAAAGACAGGATTTTTTGTCTGTTTTGCTCACTAGTATATTTCTTGGTATCTAAAGTAATACCTGTCTATATAGCAGGTGTTCAGTAAATATTTAAATGCATGGATGGATCTGATTGTACTAGACTATGCTTATTTTAATTATTCATTTTCTTAATCTGAAAATAATATTAGATTAAGTCAATAGAATTAGATTTATATGACACAAAGATGCTTTAGGATATAAAATTGAAAGCCAGCATACTTTGAAACAAATATTCAGAAATTGCTGTGTGTACTAAGGATTTTTTTCTGGGAATAAGCAGGCAAGGAGTACAACTGTACAAAAGTTGAGAAAATGCTATTAATCAACAAAAATTGAGAATATAACAGAACTGTACAATGAAAGTAAATTTAAGCCCAACTCAGAAACCTTCAAATATGACCAACCTTGTGAAATTAAACACTCCCAACCATGTATAAATGTTTAGAACAGTGGTTCTCAACCTCCCTAATGCTGCGACCCTTTCATACAGTTCCTCATATTGTGGTGACCCCCAATTTCATTGTTACAAATTGAACATAGCTGAAACCGGTTTGGCTCAGTGGATAGAGCATTGGCCTGCGGACTGGAAGGTCCCAGGTTTGATTCCGGTCAAGGGCATGTACCTGGGTTGCGGGCACATCCCGAGTAGGAGGTGTGCTGGAGGCAGCTGATCGATGTTTCTATCTCATCGATGTTTCTAACTCTCTATCTCTCGCCCTTCCTCTCTGTAAAAAATTAATAAAATATATTAAAAAAAACAAAAAAAACAAATTGAACATAATTAAAGCATAGTGATTAATCACAAAAACAATATGTAATTATATGTGTTTTCCGATGGTCTTAGGCGACCCCTGTGAAAGGGTTGTTCGACTCCCAAAGGGGTCGTGACCCACAGGTTGAGAATTGCTGGTTTAGAACCATTACTTTCAGTTAGGAAGTTCCTGATAAAACTAGGGAAACTAGTAATTATTCATATTAGCACAGGAACATTTTTTTAGAAAATGTCTGTGAAACATTTGTAGTTTCCCACAGCTGTCTCTGTCAATTTCTTAACTTCTTTCTGTTTCCAATGTTATATTTATTGGTGTTAGCTTATCATCCTAAAAGTAAGTGGTATAAAATGAAAAGCATTTATTATCTTACAATTTCTGTAGGTCAGGAATCCAAGAACAGCTTTGCTAGTTGTCTCTGGCTCAAAATCTCTATATAGATGCAGTCAAGCCACTGAGAAGGGGGCCTGCTGCAGTCTTTTTAAAAAAAATATATTCTTATTGATTTTTAGAGAGGAAGGGAGAGGGAGAGAGAGATAGAAACATCAATGATGAGAATCATTGATCAGCTGCCTCCTGCATGCCCCTCACTGGGGATCGAGCCCGCAACCTGGGCAAGTGCCCTGACCAGGAATTTAACCGTGAATTCCTCGTAGTTCATAGGTCAACACTCAACTACTGAGCCATGCCGGCTGGGCCTGCTGCAGTCTTGCTTGAATGCTTGACTGGGTGGGTTGGAAGGGCAGGTGAGAAGGGTCAAGAAGGGAAATTCACTTGAAAGCTCACTTAGTGATTGTTGACAGACCTGTTTCTCTGAGTCCTGGCCCCTACAAGGCTGGGCAACTGGCTTTCCCTGATGATCTACCTAAGAAAAAATATGAGACTCCAAACAGATGGAAGTGGTAATCTTTCTACAATCTAATCTTAGAAGTAACATCCCTTTCCTTTTGCCATATTCTGTTCATTAGAAGTGATTTCAGCAAGGAGATTATACACCAAGAAGTGAGGATCACTGTGCCCTTTTAGAGATTGCCTACCATAAATATCTTACCACATGCTTGCTAGTTGTTCTCACATGGTAATAAGGACTTTAGCATAATTAGTTCATTGTCACTGAAGTTGTGGGATGTTTTCTTATCCTGTGAAATTGAAATCAGTTTATTAAAAAAATGCACTTAAATGGGCAACTATAGAAAAATCAATAAAGCATATGCCTTTATTTATTTTTTTAAGCAAATGCCTTTAAAAGGCATTGGAAAATAATTTCAAGCATTGTGAAATAACCATCACTTCAGGGAACTAACAGGGCCAAGATTTTTTCCTAGGAGACAACAGAAGCCCAAAACAAACAACTGCTATTAATTGTCATAACCAATTAAGACTCCCTCATTCCCCTTAAATAAGGCCACGCAATAATGTAATTGGTGGGAATATTTGTTTTTGTTGTTATTTTAATTTTGTTATGTTATCATAGTTGGTATTTGAAATGGAGAGCTAATGACTTTGTCCCTATTAAGGGAAACCAAAACACTTGTCCGTAGGTGACATTTAGTGTAATGTTGTATGTTTAAATAGTAACTAAAAGTCAGCAATCTTTTTTTTCTGTTTCTTTTAGTTGATTTCAAGTTATTCATTTAAGAATTGGGTCTTATAACTTCCTAAAGATTAGTAACTCTAGGTGGTATGGTTGATATTTAGTAGGCCCTAAGGAAATTTTGTCTGACTTAATAAAATTTATCATTCTAATCAATATACCTCTTTGTGTTTTTGCCATTTGAGAAAATAATTGTATTATTTTGTTGATATCTTTGTAAAAAGGTCTTTGCACAATGCTTGGAATATAATAAGCACTCAGTAAATGTTCCTTTCTTTTTATAGAAAAAATAGACTGTATTACCATATAGTATTAAGTGCTTTCTTGGCATGCAGAACTAATACTTAATAGTGCATGGGTGCTATATAATTTTAAACTATTTAAATTTAAGAATGAATACATTTTGGCTGAACCTTACATTTCTAAATAATTTTTACTACTCCTAACCCATATCTTAAATTCTAATTGAAAGTAGTTTTTGACTTGAGTAATTTTCAAAACAAATTACTTAGGTGATTTCATTTTTCTCTTTCTACCTTCATTTTCCAGAATAAAACAAATATTGGATAATGCCCAAGCCAAGATCTTTTTATGTGTGGAAAAGGAAATTCCTTCTGAATTGTGATTATTCGGATTGATGTGCATGTGCTTTCTACTTATAAACTAATGCTATTTTCCTTGTCCTTTTGTTTCACTGCTGCTTCAATCCTGATGCATTGTGCTTCTTCCTTGTTTGGATTGTATTTGTTCGCTGCTCAATTACACTGCATTAAAAGCTTCTTGGTGATAGCAAAGATGTCCTTGGCCCACCAAGTAAGTAGCTAAAGTTCAAATGACATGTTTGGAGACATAATATTTTGATGTGTACTTATAAAAGGCATGCGGTATTTTTGTTTTGATTATTTAAGTGTTCTACTTTTCTTTCCAGATAGTGAAATATAAAGAATATAGTCATTTAGTGCTTATCTGTTGACAATATCCATCTGAGATTGATAGTATTTGTATATTTACATCTGAATTATCTAAGGATAGATTATTTACTTAATTATCTAGTTAATAATTTAGGACCTTTTCTCCATAGTATTCCTTTCTGCAATCATCATGAAAAATATGTCAGGCTACTTTGAGGCTGGACATGGTCTTAAAAAATTCACTGCCATATGATAATGAGAAATACTGTTTTGTTTTGTCAGAATTTTTACGTAATAGATAATTTGGTTATGAAATGTATTATTTATACTTTGGGATTTCATAAGTGAAACATGTTTCATCTTAGGAATTTAGAAGATGTCCGTCCCCCCCCTTTTTTTTTAACCTGCACTGTTAGCTTTGGAGGATACACGATGAAAAAAACCTATGCTCTGCCCATAAGGATCATTATAGTCTAGCAAGGGAGTTAGACTCACCTATAACAATAAAGCATAATATGCTAATTAGACCAGATGTCCTTCCAGATGAAGCCATGGCGGCCGGGGCCGAGGCAGAGGAGGTGGCTGCCACGGCAACAGGAGCTGAGCCCCTTGCATGAATTTTGTGCACCGGGCATATATATATAAGCCTAAGCGACTGGATGACCGGCCAGTAGCTATGATGTGCACTGACCACCAGGGGCCAGATGCTCCACACAAAAGCTGCCCCCTGGTGGTCAGTGATCCCCACAGTTAACCTCTCACAGCCGGCCGACCTCACGCGGTTCCTCCCCCTGGCTGGCCGGGTGGTCAGTGAGCTCCCATGGCCAACCTCCTGCAGTCCCTCTCCCTGGCCGGCTGGCCCCGATCGCCAGCCAGGCCAAGGGGATCCCCCCCTCCCACCATGTACAAATTCATGCACTGGGTCTCTAGTGAATAGATAATTTTAAAGCATTGCAACAGGGGAAACTTTTATTTTAAAGTTTTGTATTAAAAGTCACAGAATTACTGCCCTGGCCTGATGGCTCAATTGTTTGGAGCATTGTCCTGTGCACCAAACAGGTTATGAGTTTGATTCTAGGTTAGGGCACGTACATAGGTTGCAGGTTCTATCCCTGGTTGGAGTGTGTACAGGAGGCAACTGATTGGTGTCTCTCTCTCTCTCTCTCTCTCTCGCTCTCTCTCTCTCTCGCTCTCTCTCTCTCTCGCTCTCTCTCTCTCTCGCTCTCTCTCTCTCTCGCTCTCTCTCTCTCTCACTCTCAAAAATCAATAAAACATATCCTCGGGTGAGGATTTAAGAAAAATCATAGAATTACTGAGATGAAAGGAACTTCAGATGTCATCTAAAAGCATGAAGATCCTGAAGCTAAGAACGGAAATGTCCAAGAAATTAGAATTGGTTACTTACCCAGTGTGTCTTCTACTGGTTTTCAGTAATTAAAATATCACTGCATTGTGAATTGGACAAAGATTTTTAACTTTATTAAAAGCAATGTGGAAATTATATTGACTTAGGAAGTTTTAGTATTTTTTATGAAATATATGACTGTTGTAAGTTTGCTCATTCCTTTAGGGTTCATTTTGTTGTTCCATTGGCAAAAGGAAGGGACTAAGCAAAATAATGGCAAGATTTCTTCTAGTTCTAAAATTATTTGATCTAAAACAATTGCTATTTGTCTCTAATGTATTATGTGGGGAGCCGGCACGGCCATGGCATACTCAGCCCCAGGGCGCCTTATGTGCCATGCCAGCTCAGTCTGGTTCAGTGACCCTGAGTTGGGGGGGTGAAAGTATTGAGAAAAGACAGACAAGAGAATGAAAGCTGGGTCTCTGTGGAACGCTGCTCCCTGATGAGGAGACAGCGCCAGCACCCACAAGCCGTGTCTTTATTTTATAGCAGATGCCACGAGGCACAGTAGGGGTGTGATCAAGTTGTTTACAGCATTCTTGTGAGTTTCAACCTCACTTAACTACATGCACCCGAACTCTATCACAAGGCACGTGGGGTTACATGTTTGGACAATAGGTTCAAGCTTACAACCACAGCCATTGGCTATGATTGTGCTGGGAGGGCCCTGCCCTCCAGCTGGGACTTGCACATGGCAGTGAGAGGACCCTGTCCTTTCATTAGTCTGAGGCTTGAACCTGGCCATAACACCGTAACCGTGCCCCATAGTATTATTTTTTTAAAAAAGAGAGCTGATTTAAGGTAATACGCTAAAATTCCTTTTTTAACTGCAGTAATTTATAGTATTTTAAATATATTGTTTATTATACAATCAGCATTATTAGAATAGTAGAAATTTTGAAAGTAAAGTACACAAATACCAAAACATTTTTGTTTTCTTATTCAGCTTTATTTGTGATGCATGACAGATATTTTCTTTCTTGTGTGTGTGTGTGTGTTTTGTTGTTGTTGACAGTATTACAGATGTCTCCCATTCTCCCTTTTTGCCTTCCTCCATCCAACCGCGCCCCACCCCAGGCCTTCCCCATACTATTGGCTGTGTCCATAACTTATGCATATGTGCATATATGTTCTTTGGTTAATCTCTTCCTGTCCCCTGAGATCTGTTATTCTGTTCCAAGCATCCATACCTCTGGACCTATTTTGTTCATTAGTTTATTTTGTTCATTATAGTCCACATGTGAGACAATTTGTCTTTCTCTAACTGACTTATTTCGCTTAGCATAATACTTTCCCAGTCCCTCCATGCAATCTTAAAGGGTAAGAGCTCCTTTTTCACAGCTGTATGGTATTCCATGGTGTAAATGTACCACAATTTTTTTATTCACTCATCTACTGATGGGCACTTGGGCACTTAACTGTTGTAAATAAACGCTATGAACACAGGGGTACATACATTCTTTCTAATTGGTGTTTGGGGATTCTTTAGGGATATATACCTAGAAGTGGGATTACTGGGTAAAATGGCAGATCCATTTTGAATATTTTTAGGAAACTCCATACCGTTTTCCATAATGGCTGCACCAAGTCTGCATTCCCATCAGCAGTCTACTATAGGGTTCTCTTTTCTTCACATCCTCACCAGCACTTGCTATTCATTGATTTATTAATAGTAGCCATTCTGGCAGGTGTGAGGTGATACCTCATTGTAGTTTTAATTTGCATCTCTTTGATGATGAGCGAATTTGAACATTTTTTCATGCTTATTGGCCATCGGTATGTTCTCTTTGGAGAAGTTCTGTTCAGGTCCTTTGCCAATTTTTTAGATTGGATTGTTTAGATTAGATTGAGTTGTATGAGCTCTTTGTATATTTTGGAAATTAATCCCTTATCTGATGTATCATTGGCACATTTATTTTACCAAAGTATGTTCCCTTTTCATTTTGTTAATGGTTTCTTTTGCTGTGCAGAAGCTTTTTATTTTTATGTAGTCCCATTTGTATATATTTTCCTTTGTTTCCCTTGCCTTTGGCAATGTATCGGTGAAAATATTGCTAGGTGAGATGTCTGAGATTTTACTGCCTGTTTTCTTCTAGGATTTTTACGGTTTCCCATCTTACATTTAAGTCTTTTATCTCTTTTGAGTTTATTTTTGTAAATGGTATAAGTTGGTGGTCTAGTTTCATTTTTTTTTTTTTGCATGTACCTGTCCAACTTTCCTAACACCATTTATAGAAGAAACTATCTTAACCTGGCAGATATTTTCAATGGATTTTTCAGGTAGTCTAATTAACTTATACATTCAAATGTTGGCTCAGATGAACTGATTAACATAGCTGAACTTTATAAATAGAATTTAATTTTTAGTATCAATTGAAATGATTCTAATTTGGGGACTGGGTTTTATAAGTGGAGGTCTTTAATTTACTTGGAATATAAGAAATTTATTGTATATTTTATGCCTATAGAAATAAAAATATACAGCATATATTAGGGATCGTTTATATTGTGCTCTATCAACTATTAGAAGGGGACTGTATAATTATTTCATGGAGACCATATGTTTTTTAAAGTGGAAAGTAGTTTCATATAGTACTTCATTAGGATCTGTACTATTGAATGAAAAAGCTATAATTTTATATCTACCAACATATTTAATATATTTAAGTATTTGGGAAAAGGTATATCATCTGTAAGGGGAGATTTAGAATTTATGTAGAGATCATTTGTGACTTTAAAATGTTTACTTAACTTCAGCTTATCTTAGCTTTCACTTATATTAAGGGCAAATACCAGACTTGGAAGCTTATACAGTTCTTTAGATTTTATATTGATGAGTTGAATTCAGAAAGTAAAGAATGATAGTTACAGAGTCATATTCTCCTTAGAAGTTGCAGTTGGTATGTTAATATGTTACTGCTAATTATTCCATTGTGATTAATTTTACTGTAGTTAAGATAGTAAAACAATATGAATAGCAAAGTAGGTTACTTCCACTACAAAATACAACCATGAGAGGGCACTGTAATGCTATCATTAGTAGGTGAAGTAATTGATTGTAATGTTAGACATTACACTGAAATCATGCAGTCATTGTCAAATATTTATTCAGTCATTTAGCATGGATTTATTGTCACTTTTATTCCAAGGGATACAAATAAAAACAAAGTCACTACCCTTTTTAAGCTTATACTTAACTAGTCTACAATTGTGCAAATGATGTAAACTATCAAGATGACTTTTATAATGTGAAAATTCCTTTTTCTGTGTATAATGTTAATGTTTGTGAATGGGGTAAGAGAAAAAATAGGAAAATGCACTTTCTGTACATTGCTATTTCTACAGCCTTCCCACTTCAAGGTTATCAAAATCATAAGCAGTAATACCTCAATCAGTAAGAAGTTAGGGGTGAATGGAACTAAATATTCACTTCTTAGACTATTGCCTTTTTTATATGGTCAAGTTATTCAAGACATAGATACTTATGTCTTACTGAC